TCAAAAAGTCGACTAAGTTAATCAGAGAAGAATTTTAGGAATTTATCTATTTTCCTGATCTAATGCCCTCTCCTAGCCTCTCCCAGAGGTCCTACCTTTATCAGGTCTATAATTATATCTGAAAATTTAAATTAAATTATGATAACATGCATGCCGTAAATCTTTTTTATTTAAAGTGCACAACTATTTTTTTTTTAATTTTTAAGATTATATAATTCTTTATAAGAATGAAAAGTTATCCAATATTTTAACTTTTAAGTATAAAATACTCTGAATCAAACTTTTAATTAAAATATACATTATTTAAGTTAATAAAAAAGTATATAAAAATTGAAGTAAGATAAAGTAAAAATCTCAATTAAATATTATTTTTTAGCTATGAAGGGACATTATAGTCTTTGAACAACATCAAAAAAATTTTAATTAGGCTTATTGGCCTGGTTAAAAATCTATTAAGAATATAAGTATAAATTTGGATTTAAATATTTTAACTAAATTTAAGGGGATTTTCCCTAAAACAATTGAATACTCGTTCAGTATAACCCCAATATATAGTAGGAAGAATATATATATATTTGAATGAAACTCTTTTTGGGACACATGGCAACGTCTGGGCAAGAGACAATAAAGAAGAGAGGTAAGAAGGAAGATATATAGGAAAGAGAAGGAGGGCGTGGGAGGGAGGAGAAAGAATGAAAAGAGAGGAAGAAAAGAGAGGAAAAGGAAATAGGACCACAGATACACGTTGCACTCTTTCAGACAAAATTTCTTTTCGATTCTTAATTTGTTGTGTGCCTTCCCTCAAGAAAAGGGAATCATCTAAGTTGCATGCATGTGAAGAATCAATTGAGTTGCGTGTGAAGACCGTTGACTGTTTGACGACTAATGGTTAATCTTACTCATTCAAATTCTTATATCATTAAGAAAACAAGGATCTAATAATTAAAAATTAAAGAGTAAGATAAGACGAAAAGATAGAAAATAAACCAAGATTCGACATATGGGATGCAAGGCAGATTCATATAACCAAATAAATATCCTAGGTAATATAAATATGAATCTTCTTATAAAAATACAATAGAAGTACCTCATGCATAGCTTTGACTTAAGTGATCTCTGGATTTGATATGAAAATAGAGAACTGCAAACTAGAACAAGAGTCAGAAGAAAATAAACATTCAAATCTCTTCTAACTGGCAAAAGTCACAGTTAGCAGACTTTAAATGAGTAGACAGGGTTTTTCCTCTCACTAAACGTATTGCTCTAATTTTTCAGCCGTCGAAACTTAATTATATTTCTCACCATCAGAGAAATTTCAATATATTGATTGAAATTAATTATCCTTCTTATTTGACTACGGGCCATTCAGGATATTTTATTAATTTTCTAATTAAATATCTAAATATTTATAATAATGATAATAATAATAAAATATCCCGCATAGAATACTTGGTTTAGATTTTATGTACTGTTTGAATAACCATTTAATTTGCAAATCTCTCGTAGACATTAAGTTCCCTTTCAATGAAGTCTGAGCGACAATGCTCTTCAAATGTATCTACCATTAATAAAAAAATGGCCCCTTTACTCCAACCCATGGGTTGATTTTTCAATACTTTAAAATTCTTCCACTTTTGTCTATTGGGAAAATGATCACCGACCTGTGTAGATCTTGCAATGTATCCTTTTCCTTGGCCCAACTTGCGTATTGGAAGAAAAGACCTCAATATGGTTTCTCTTTATTAGAATAAGAAGCATTTTAATTGCATGTGATGTCAATTACGGTTGTTTTAGGATAATCGTTAATCTTACTCATTCATGTTGTTAGATGGCTGAGGGGTAAAAAGGATTTAAGAAGGATATAATCATTGAAAAGTTATCCAATATTTTAAATTTAATTTTAACTTTTAAGTATAAAATACTCTGAATCAAACTTTTAATTAAAATATACATTATTTAAGTTAATAAAAAAGTATATAAAAATTGAAGTAAGATAAAGCAAAAATCTCAATTAAATATTATTTTTTAGCTATGAAGGGACATTATAGTCTTTGAACAACATCAAAAAAATTTTAATTAGGCTTATTGGCCTGGTTAAAAATCTATTAAGAATATAAGTATAAATTTGGATTTAAATATTTTAACTAAATTTAAGGGGATTTTCCATAAAACAATTGAATACTAGTTCAGGATAACCCCAATATATAGTAGGAAGAATATATATATATATATATATATATATATATATTTGAATGAAACTCTTTTTGGGACACATGGCAACGTCTGGGCAAGAGACAATAAAGAAGAGAGGTAAGAAGGAAGATATATAGGAAAGAGAAGGAGGGCGTGGGAGGGAGGAGAAAGAATGAAAAGAGAGGAAGAAAAGAGAGGAAAAGGATATAGGACCACAGATACACGTTGCACTCTTTCAGACAAAATTTCTTTTTCGATTCTTAATTTGTTGTGTGCCTTCCCTCAAGAAAAGGGAATCATCTAAGTTGCATGCATGTGAAGAATCAATTGAGTTGCGTGTGAAGACCGTTGACTGTTTGACGACTAATGGTTAATCTTACTCATTCAAATTCTTATATCATTAAGAAAACAAGGATCTAATAATTAAAAATTAAAGAGTAAGATAAGACGAAAAAGATAGAAAATAAACCAAGATTCGACATATGGGATGCAAGGCAGATTCATATAACCAAATAAATATCCTAGGTAATATAAATATGAATCTTCTTATAAAAATACAATAGAAGTACCTCATGCATAGCTTTGACTTAAGTGATCTCTGGATTTGATATGAAAATAGAGAACTGCAAACTAGAACAAGAGTCAGAAGAAAATAAACATTCAAATCTCTTCTAACTGGCAAAAGTCACAGTGATGACTAATTAGAATTAGTCATCACCTGTTAGCAGACTTTAAATGAGTAGACAGGGTTTTTCCTCTCACTAAACGTATTGCTCTAATTTTTCAGCCGTCGAAACTTAATTATATTTCTCACCATCAGAGAAATTTCAATATATTGATTGAAATTAATTATCCTTCTTATTTGACTACGGGCCATTCAGGATATTTTATTAATTTTCTAATTAAATATCTAAATATTTATAATAATGATAATAATAATAAAATATCCCGCATAGAATACTTGGTTTAGATTTTATGTACTGTTTGAATAACCATTTAATTTGCAAATCTCTCGTAGACATTAAGTTCCCTTTCAATGAAGTCTGAGCGACAATGCTCTTCAAATGTATCTACCATTAATAAAAAAATGGCCCCTTTACTCCAACCCATGGGTTGATTTTTCAATACTTTAAAATTCTTCCACTTTTGTCTATTGGGAAAATGATCACCGACCTGTGTAGATCTTGCAATGTATCCTTTTCCTTGGCCCAACTTGCGTATTGGAAGAAAAGACCTCAATATGGTTTCTCTTTATTAGAATAAGAAGCATTTTAATTGCATGTGATGTCAATTACGGTTGTTTTAGGATAATCGTTAATCTTACTCATTCATGTTGTTAGATGGCTGAGGGGTAAAAAGGATTTAAGAAGGATATAATCATTGAAAACTAAGGAGGAGTAAGTGAAAAAGATATATAATAAAATAGGATACAATATAGGATACTTGTTTCAGATTGGATGTTCGCACTGTTTGAATTATATGGCGCGCATCTCTTATAGATTTTTGGTTCCCTTTTAATGAAGTCACAGCGATAATGATCGCTAATAAGCTGCTTTCTTCTTCTTAAGTTGGCGTAGCTTGCAAGTTACTAGAAAAGTCCACAATTGACTTGACTGCATGCACAGTAACACACATTGTTTGAGTATTTCTTGTTGCTTTCTTCGGATAGCTACACACAACAATATCGCCCTTTTTACTCGGAACCATCATAATTTGTCTTGCATCCAAGCCACTGATTAGCTCTTAAATAATGTGGTCATTAGTTTAGGAGATAATTATTAGTCAGACGAAAATGTATTATTGTTGATGATTACTCACTCCGTTTCATGTCATAAGAAGTCTTTTAGAAGGAATTTTCACTTCATTTTATAAGACGTTTTGATAGTTTCTCAATAAGCATTAAATATTTTTTTCTAATATATGCTCATATTTAATAAAGATAACAAGATGATAAATTTATATTATGATAGGACTTGTGTAATCAATAAGGATAATATTAGTAATCACTTAAATTTCACAACAAATTTAATACTTTTAACTATTTCTATTGGTACATGTAAATTAATTAGAAACATTTTATAATATGAAGCAGAGGGACTACTAATCTTGATACACATAGTTCTCACAAAATTGTGTGATGATATCTTCAAATTATATATAAGATTGTAACAAGAGATGGAAAAGGGAACTTGATTTTCCCGGGGGTTTGGAATTTATGTCTTGTACTAACATTTGTTAAAAATATAAATTTTTTAAACATCTATTAAATTTATATAATAATAAAATTGATCAAGTAAAATATAATTGCCTTAATACTAGCTGAATAACTATCAAGAAAAGTCTTTATTCAGCTAGTTTGTATACAATGGCATAGGTATATGTAACTATCAGAAATGTCAAATGACATCGTCAATAAATGACCGTTAGTTCATATGCTTATATATATCTCTTAACATCCATTGTGTTTACTACAACATTCTCATTTTGTTTGAAATTTCCTTCATAGCCATGGGATTCCTCTTCAAAAAGCCTCAATTTTCTGAGAAGCTAACATTTTGGTGGATACTGCTAGTTGGCTATTTAACATTGTTCCCGCCATCTCTTGTTTCCCCTTTCAGAACTTCACTAAATAGTGAAGCAAATGCTTTGCTAAAGTGGAGAGCCAGCCTTGACAACCACAGCCAAATTGTGTTATCATCATGGAAGGATAATAGCAGTCATCCTTGCAAATGGATTGGAATCTCATGCAATGAGCTCAACTCAATTTCTGGTATATCTCTTCCAAATTTTGGATTAAGAGGTACGCTTAATAGTCTCAATTTCTCATCTTTCGCTAATCTCCAATTCTTAGTACTTAAATGTAATCAACTTATTGGTTCCATTCCCAATGAAATTGGAATGTTAAAGGAAGTAGTTGAACTTGACTTGTCGAGCAACCATCTCTCTGGTAATATCCCTGCCACCATAGGAAATATGACCAATTTACACCATCTTTACCTTTTTTCCAATCAAATCTCAGGATCCATCCCATGGGAAGTAGGGAAACTCTACTCTATGGAGACATTGCATTTATCAGAGAACAATATATTAGGTTCAATCCCATCCTCTATTTGGAAGTTGGCTAATCTAAGCAACTTCTATGTTTATCAAAATAACCTTTCTGGATATATTCCTTCTAGTATTGGAAACTTGACAAGGCTCTCCATCCTAGCATTGGGACGAAACAATCTTTTAGGATTTGTTCCTTCTAGTATTGGAAATTTGACAGAGCTCACCTATATAAATTTGTGTGGAAACAAACTTAGTGGCAACCTTCCATCAGAAATGAATAACTTGAGGAAATTAGGATCCTTGCAAATTGGAGAAAATAGTTTCGAAGGTCATTTCCCTCAAGACATCTGCATGGGAGGATTGCTTGATATGATCAGTGCACATAGGAATCATTTCACCGGTCCAATTCCTAGAAGTTTGAGGAACTGCTCTAGCCTTATTAGAGTTAGGCTTGAAAGTAATCAATTGACAGGAAATATCACAGATGCTTTTGGTGTATGTCCACACTTAAACTACATTGATTTAAGTAACAATGCACTTTATGGCCACTTGTCACCCACATGGGGGCAGTGCCATAACCTTACAAGCTTCAAGATCTCAAATAATAACTTATCTGGCGGCATACCAATAGAGCTAAGTGAGGCAACAAAGTTACAGCAACTTCACTTTTCATCAAATCACTTGACAGGAAATATTCCAAGGGAATTGAGTCGCTTGTCATTATTGAGTGAACTTAGGCTGAGCAATAATCAACTTTCAAGAAACATTCCTATTGAGATAGGATTGTTGACAAAACTTGAACAGTTAAGTCTAGCTAACAATCACTTAAGTGGCTCAATTCCAGAACAACTGGGAGGGTTGACCAAATTATGGGAATTGAACATAAGTGGAAATAAGTTCTTCAGCATTCCCATTACTTTTGGTCGATTGCAACAGCTTCAGTCTCTTGATCTTAGTGGAAATTCATTTACCGGCAGAATCCCAACAATGCTTGGAGAGCTACAACGATTGGAAAAGTTGAACCTCTCATGTAACAATTTCTCTGGAATGATTCCTTCATTTTTTGATGATTTGAAAAGCTTGACTATGATTGACATATCACACAATAAATTAGAAGGTCCACTTCCAAATATTTCAGCCTTTCGTGCAGCTACAATGGGGAGATTAATAGGCAACAAAGGATTATGTGGTAATCTATCTGGCCTACCAATTTGCCCAACAACAAATTTTGACCCAAGCCATTCCAAGAGTAGGAAAGTGGTGGTCTATGTTGTATCCTTTAGTTTGGGAGCTGTGATGCTAGCAACATTTTTCGCTGGCATTTCATATATTATTTTCCATCACAAAGCAAGGAAAACAGAAAGTCAAGAAAGAGAAGTGCAAACTCAAAATTTGTTTGCTATATGGAGTTATGATGGGAAATTAGTATATGAAAACATTATTGAAGCCACGGAGGAGTTCAATGAAAAATATCTCATTGGGGAGGGAGGATTTGGAAGTGTCTATAAAGCAGAATTATCCACAGGTCAAGTTGTGGCTGTGAAGAAGCTTCATTCAGTACCAGCCAGGGATATGTGTCATCAAAAAGATTTTATGAGTGAGATTAGAGCCTTGACAGAAACTAGGCATCATAATATCATCAAGCTATATGGGTTTTGCTGGCATTCAAAAGTCTCTTTTTTGGTTTATGAATTCTTAGAAGGAGGCAGCTTGGACAAGATACTAAGAGAAGAGACACAAGCAATTGCTTTGGATTGGACTAAAAGAATCAAAGTTGTTGAAGGTATGGCTAATGCTTCATGCTATCTTCATCATGGATGCTCACCTCCGATAGTTCATCGTGACCTATCAAGCAAAAATGTTATTTTAGATTCAGATTATGAGGCTCATATCTCTGACTTTGGGGCATCCAAGCTTTTATATCCAGATTCTACCAATTGGACCTCATTTGCTGGCACCTTTGGCTATGCCGCTCCAGGTTGAGGATCTTTTATGTTATGTTCTCTTCATTACTTTTGAGTTTGCATGGTGTTATATGTCATGTTTCATTTATTTAACAATTAAAAATTTATCATTCACAATGTTTTTTTCATGATAATCTTTTTGGTTTTGTTATAGAACTTGCTTACACAATGGAAGTGACGGAGAAATGTGACGTTTATAGCTTTGGAGTGTTGGCTCTGGAAACAATTATGGGAAAGCATCCAAGAGATCTCATAATGTCATGTTTCTCATTAACATCTTCTAGTGCAGCACCAACAATAGTTGCTCATGATTTGGATTTAAAGGGAGTGTTAGACCAAAGGCTCCCTTATCCTCGAGGCTTAGTGGCTGAGAAGGTGATGTTGATTGCAAGAATTGCTTCTACTTGCTTGAATGAAAATCCACGTGCTCGCCCAACCATGGAGCAAGTATGTAAGGAGCTTGCCATGCCAAAATCACATTTCTCTGGTTCCATTCCATAGCTTCATATAAGTTATGTTGGAGATCTCAACTGAAAATAAGATCATCACAATGTGATGATGTGTGGTGTATTATTGTCTTCACACTTAATGTGTCCCCCTAGTCTACTTGTGTTTTACCTTTTGGATAAGGACCAACCCAAAATAATAATTAAATATTGTGTGATTAAGTTCATTAGTGATGTGTTATCAATTTATAGTATCTATTACATATTTTTCTAATTCGTAATTTGATAAGACCAATGTTACACATCATCGTTAACAACTCCAATATATGACTACTGTGAATGTGCTACGCAGTAAAAAGTAATTAATTCATATTCATGCAAGTGTTACCCAGAATTGATTCGTTTAGCAATTTTATAATTTTAGGGAACTAATTTTTTCAAACACATTGTAAATCTATTAATTGTTTAGCCTCCCAGATCTTTAGCGATTTGCCAGTCCAATTCAAGTACTAGAAGATCTCCATCTTCAGATCCGTCTCTATCACTGCCAACTAACAATCAAAATTTTTCAAACACATTGTAAAATTTTAAACCATCTCCAAATAGCTGTGACGTAGAATAAATTTTTTATATTTAGTGCAATAAAAAACTTCTCTTTTTATATAAGTAAGCAAATAATTATTGCTCCACCATTTATATCCAATACTGTTTTGCTTTAGGTTCTTGATAATATTTATAATAGAAAAACCTCTTTTAAACTTGTTGCCATATAGAGAGTATCAACTACTGATTTCTTGTTGCAATGATTATTTTGTGAAAAAATTTTCAAATTGACTATTTACTACCAAAAGTTCTAAGTGAGACAATTCAAAACAAAATTGAGCAAAACAAATTAGATTATATTCTTATTCATCTGTAGAATGAACACAAATGTGAGATGTTCAAAAGTTGGGGGCCAACAAACATACCAACAAACTTAAAGATCAAATAAAAAAAAGTCAAATCAGGTTTCCCATGTTGTTCCTCACCTTTCAAATTTCATCTTAATCATGCATGTTGGGAACTTAAAGACAGCAAAAAGAAATGTAATTATGAAAAGACTTGTAATACCTGTTATGCTTTTATTATTACTAGAAAGTGTCTCTTTTTATTACGTAACTATAGGGACACAATGTTATTATATTACCTATATTTTTGAGATACTTAGCATGATTTGTGTTGAAAGCATCAAAGTTATGTTCTAACTTGGATAATAATGTTGAATGACTAATGATTTGTGATTTGGAAACCTTGTAGTTATGGCCAAGTGCTTTAGGAATGTTTTGGTTGTGGGATGTGGATCCACATGAAGCTATCTATTTTGATGATTGGCCTTTGTTCAAGAATGATGTGTATGCTAAACTATTGTTTGTGGGCTTGATTGTTGGACTTGAGTGTCTTGGACTTTGAATGGGTCCAAAGTCCAACCGTTATGTATTACATACTACTTCATGTTCTAAATATAAGAACTAATTAGATATTTAATTTAATCATAAATATATATATATATTTTAATTTATTTTGTCTCTTATATGCATTCATTTTAAACAAGTTGATCACAACAAGTCATCCTTCATCAGTCCATACGGTGGTTGCTGTGATTCCAACTCCGGTGGCTTCAACCAGTCATCTTTCAAGTGCCGACCATAGTACGTCAGTAGGGGTGGCTTTTCTCTGCTGGCCCTCCTCTACCTCAAAATGCTGCCATTTGGTGAAAAAAGTGACAAGGAAAAAGTACGAGATCGGAGGAAGGCGGAAAATTGCTAGTAAATTTTTTGTTTGGGAATATGTTAGGAAATACAAATGTGTAAAGGTGCACCCATATTTTTTTTAATCTGCATTCAATATTTTAAAGTATTTTTTATTTTTAGGTACATTTAGCACCATAAAATATTTTTTAGTACTTTTATACTTAATAATTTCGAAGGCTGGATGCACCAAAATAACTAATTTATGAATAATGAACAATTAGTTAAAATAAGTTAAAAGTCATAAATGGATTACAAATGTATTTTTATTTTTAAATATGCCCTTATAATGAATGAATGAAAGAATGAAAGAGACTGTGTGGAAAAATTTTATAAGAGAGAGTATGACAAAGGAAAGAGAATAAAAAGGGCAAAACTAAAAAAGTAGCATTAAATGTGAAGACAAATTCAAATTGAAACTTATAAAATGAACCACACTCCTCTCCAAAATTGAAGTTTATAGATAGGACCGAAGGGAGTATAATTTTTATGGTAAATTATAAAATGAATCACACTCATTTGTAAAATTGAAGTTTATAAATAGAATCAGAGAAGTATAATTAAAAAATGTTTTGTCAGTGTCTTAAAATTGTTAAATTTTTATTAAATGAAGGTGCATCAGCATCCAAAACTTTTCAAGTGTATTTAATATCCTAAAATATTTTACGGTATATCTAGCACTTTAAATTATATTTTGATACATCTAACACTTTAAAATATTTTTTCAAGCACATCCAACACTTTAAATTGCTAAGTCTAAAATTACTCTAAAAAAATACTTTAAAGCATTAGAAGTACCTAAAAATATAATACATTTTAAGATCGTGAATGCATTTAAAAAATACTTTAAGGTGATAAGTATACCTTTATTCATTTTTATTTTCCAACAATATTCACAAACAGAAAATTAATTAGCTATTTTCCAATTCACGACCTCCCTCCCATCTCGTTATTTCTTGTCATTTTATTCACGAAACGGCAACATTTTGACGCAAAGGAGGAGGAGCGAATATTAAAGGCAGCAGAGAGAAGCCATTTCCCCTTCTTGAAGCTAGACACAAGGAGCCACGTCTAAAGGGGGAGGGAGAGAATGAATGAGAGAGGGAGAGGCCACCACAGCATTGCAAAACAGGAGTTACGCATTAGGAGGAAAGGGGGAGGGAGAGGGAGAGAAAGAACGAGGGGCCACGTGGTATAGAATGCTTGGAGGGGGAAGAGAGAAAGGATGAGAGCTTGCCACAACTGACTCACATCCGACTCACATAAGAGATAAAATGAGACTCAAAGCATTTGACACCCATTTAAAAAAACGTAACAGCCGTTTACGAGAATTAACGGGAATGGCTGAATGGCATTTGTGGTCTGTTTTGAAAAGTCTATAGATATTTTTACGTCTAATATTTTATTATGGTTTCTGATATAAGTAAGCAAACAATCATCGCTCCATTATTTATCTCCAATAATGTTTTGTTTCGGGTTCTTGGATAATATTTATAATTAAAAAAAAGCTCTTTTAAATGTTTTTGTTGCCATATAAATAGTATCAACTACTAATTTCTTTTTGCCATAATTATTCTGTGAAAAAATTTTCAAATTGACTTTTTACTACCAAAAGTTCTAAGTAAGACAATTCTGATCGAAGAACAAAATTAAGCGGAACAAATTAGATTATATTCTTATCCAATGTAAAAAAAAATTCTTAAGTGAATGCTTATGCCAAAAAAAGAAGTTTTCAAGTTATATCTAAAATAAACCTAGTCAATCACAAAGGATTAAATAAAATAAATAATGCTAAATATAGATATCTGATGTGCAAATTAAATACATGGTATGTAAATTAAAATACTTAATGTATAATTGTATATCTTATATATATGCACACATATATGTGAAAAAATTTAGGTGACATGCATATTGAAAATAATGAGAAAAATGAAGAAAGGATAAGATTTTTTTGGAGGGGGGGGGAGAAATCAATAACATCTGAGCTTCTCTGGAAGAAACAAAAATATGAGATGTTATCAAAAGTTGGGGGCCAACAAACACACCAACAAACTTAAAGATCAATTATTAAAAAAAAAAATTCAAATCAGGTTTCCCATGTTGTTCCTCACATTTCAAATTTCATCTTAATCATGCATGTTGGGAACTTAAAGACAGTAAAAAGCAATGTACTTATGAGAAGACTTGCAATACCTATTATGCATTTATATACTATTACTAAAAAGCGTCTCTCTCTTTTTATTACGTAACTATAGAGACACAAGGTTACTATGTGCCTGTTTGAATTCACGTTTCAGCAGCAGTTAAATAGCTTTTAAGACTCAAAAGTACTTTTTATATGTTATGAGATGTATTGATAAGCGTCTAGGGTATTTGACTTATGGGTAACAATGGGGGGGGGGGGAGCACAATCGCCAAAGTAGCTTTTAGATGCTTATGAATCGTGCTTTGGGTTGTGTGCGTTTTGGTTTTTGTTTTGTCCCTGATGCCCCTGTCTGTATGTGTTATTTAGGGAGTGTTTGGATAGAAACCAAATCATTGTTTCAAAAGTGCTTTTACGGTTTACGAAGTAAATATGTGAAGGAATTTATCTCGTTTTGCAGAAAAGTGCTTCTGAAATCATGGTTTGGAGGTTGCCAAACACCCCCTTAATTGTATAGCATGTTTTTTTGTTCTTTTGTTTTTTTTGCCCCTGATCGCTGTGTATTTTTTTTTATTAATATATAAAAGACAACCACTTAAATTGAGATTGAACTTGATATCTGTGCAAAATTTGAATTTGAATTTTCATAATTAGGTAGTATTATTTGATTTAAAAATTTTACAGTATTTCTAATTTAAATATACTTTATTCATTAAATATAATGGTATTACGTAAAATTTTACAGTATTTCTAATTATTTTAATTTCATTTTATTATGTAAAATCAATTTTTTTAATCATGTTTCATTATTTATTAAAACTTATACCCATTTTAATAATTTTACAACCAAACTTACTTTTATTCAATCATAATCTAAACAACATTTTACCAATCTCACTTTTACAAACTAACTTTTCTAAACTCCAATCCAAATACTATTTAACTTATCTAATTTAACTTTTATCCAATTTTATTTTTCTAAAAGTCAAATTGATAATAAGCTACTTTTTCAATCACTAATCCAAACAAACCCTATATTATTTATACTTTTGAGATACTTAGCATGATTTGTGTTGAAAGCCTCAAAATTATGTTCTAACTTGAATGTTGAATGACTAATGGTTTCACTACTACAAAATGAAAAATACTCGACGGTTATTTTGGATCATATTTGACGGTTAAAAACCGTCAACTATACTGGCGTCATATATTTCAACAGCAAATATTTGACGGTTATTAACCGTCAAATATTTAAATCATACTTGACGGTTACTAGAGAAAAACCGCCAATTATTTTGAGATTATAATTGACGGTTCCAAAAACCGTCAAGTATTCTGTAATACTTGACGGTTCCATAGAGTGACCGTCAAGTATTATAAACATACTTGACGGTTATTTTTGAAAAACCGTCAAGTATTATTTAATACTTGACGGTTTTAAAAGTAACCGTCAAGTATTTTATAATACTTGACGGTTTTAACTAATAACCGTCAAGTATTATTCGTTTTTTTTTTTTAAATTCGTTCTCCTTTGCCAGCAACCCCCTGCAATTTTGAAACCGATAACAAAGGCTCATTCAACAGAATCATGCAGGCCAGCATTCAAACCAATTCAGCCATATACATATATGTTAATGAACCGAAAATATTTTACATTATCATATATATATACATGAACCAATGAAAACTAACTGTGATATATTAAAATTCTGGCAAGTACAAAAAGGTGAACCAATTCCAAAATTAGCCAATTGCCAAAGTTGTGCAATGCCTAAAACTAACCAACAGCCAAAAATGAACCAAAACCAAAATTATATTGAAACCAAAGCTAGCTGTACGTACATACACTGTCTTAATGTACACTTCCCTATCTATGTTGTGCCCACTGACGGAATAAGGCCATCGCCAACTCCTCAACGATTTCTTCCATCTGAGCAGATGAATACACTGTGCAATATGTGTCGGCAAAGTACTGTATGCAACCACAAATTATGACTTAAGTTAGATAGAAATGTAAAGCTACAGTAAGTACAATAATTCTTAAATATATAAATTGAACCTTAACAAATGCATATTACCTGCGTGGGAATTGTGTCAGCATTGTGCAGAATTATCTCCTTCATAAATTTCATCACGCAATATCCACAATGGGAGCTCTTGTTGGGCTGACGTGGGCACTGTAAAGAATGGAAAAGGAAATAATATTAGTCAATCATATAAATAAACCATATTTAGTAGAATAGTAAATAATGGTAGTGAATACCTTCACTTTCTTCCACGGGAAGGTATCGTCAAATTGGCCGTAAGGCCTGATTTGTGCGGTATAGCCACAAAGCCCTGAGAAGACAATAAAATTGAATATTAATGATTGTCAAAAATTTGATTGAAGCAAGAAATTAAATTAAATTTAAATAATAGAGATAAATATTACTTGTTGAACAATGAAACCATAAATGGTCGATTGGTTGGATCCCCATGAAGAGAATCAAGATACCAAATCCTCGGCTTTGTGGGATTGACCACAATCAGCATCCAGTGTCCCCTAAGTATAAGAAAGACAATTAGAACTATTACAAATTATTTTGAAAATGAAAGAATTTAGGAAAGTTTACCCTTGACAATAAGGCGCCAAAAACAAAGTCTGAGCCCCCGGTGTTGCCCTAGAAATGAAGATATCTAACAAGTCTCTAGATAAGTCTTTCTTCATGGCCAGCAAAAGTGTGGGGGCTGATAATCTTGAACTTGTCATCAAGGCCACCAGGGGCTATGAAGTTCTTGAAAAGATATCTAAATCAACAAACGAAGATATCAATAGAATAAATGTTCAAGTACTTAAGTATTTAGTTAAGGTTTTAACAAATACCTGATATAAAAGTTACAGGCATTTGTGCTGGCCATTCCATGCGTCAGAATCTCTTTCAATACTTCATTTGTGACATAATCTGACGAGGGTCGACCGTATACCTCTGGCTCAAACTCTAGGGGAATCATGAAATCCTCGCCATGTTCTAATCTGGCCCCAATTGCATATTCCTCAAGACATATTCGGAATCTTGATGATACCACTTGAACGGGCTCAGAGGGCTGCTTCTGTGGTGATGATAATGAGTGATCACCCAATAGGCTCTTCTTCCCCTTAGACTGACAAACAGACTGTTAGTAATTAAAATAGAGTTTATTTTAAATCAGCTGAATTTGTAGACCTATACATATATACCTTTGAAGGATGTCCTAATGTAAGAAGACGGCCAGGCCAAGCGACAAAGCTACCCACTGCTTGAGCCACTGTCTCTGCATCTGGGGTGGGTATCGGGAGGGCATAATTCGCATCAATAGCAGTGTTCAACTGCACCCTCACATGATCAGCAGGGAGAGGAACATTATGAATTATACTCTCCCCCGGTAAATTGAACATGCGGCCCGTTGCAACAGTGTGATGTTTAGGGCTATCCGCCATACACTGAACGTCCGCTTCACCCTGATTTGTTTAACATGAGAGACAAGTTAGCTAGATATATAAATTATTGAATGTAATTATATAAACACAAGTATTATACCTCAGGTAGCAAGGGGAATGTGCAGCTGTCTTTGCCACTTGGGCTGAGATTCGGAGCCGGCTGTGGTGCTTGATTCTTGATCAACTGCTCGATTAGGAGCGCTTGCACTTTAACTTGCTCCTTTAACCAGCGTGTTTCTTCCTTCAGCTCCATGAACTCAGCAGAGGAAGGCGTGCACGATGAAGAGGGCTTTTGTCGGTACCCAAAGTAATCTCTCTTGGTGACTCCATAACCGACACCCCTAAGAAGACCAGGATGGTCAGGAGTCCCCAATGCCCTCCTCAATATATCCTGGTCATCTGCAGAATATGCCCCCTGCGAAACTTCCTGGGACAAACTCTCCTGTGCAACAAACATTGATATAGTTATTCATACTTAAAGATATTTGACAATAACGTGAAGATTATTTAATTTAGAATAATACTCACCATCCTGTCCACGACCTCCTTAACGCGAGGATTATCAATTTGGCCATCTTTATTTTGCCTGGCCAGTGCCCACAGCATCTGACGTGATACAGTGACATCTGATCCCTCCTGCTGAGTCACCTCTTGCTCAAGGCCCGCATAACCCAAGCGGCCCTTTCGGTAGGGATACTCATTCTTCTTTACTCTTTCCTTATTTTGGGAACTTAATTCCTGCAAAAACAAAGTAGATTCACAATTAAACAATATATAGATTAAACAAAATGGACTATTTAATATCAAAAAGAGCGAGGATTATTACTTGAAATTGCCTATCACGACGTGACGTCACAAAAGCAGCCCAATCCTCTGGTTTGACCAAGTCCCGTATCAAGCTAGGAACCTGGGACTCGTCGGCTGTGGAAGGATCCTTCAAGTACTTGTGTGTGACAAAATATCGGAAAGAGCGTAGTGCCCTCCCAGCCTTCCCCTCCACAAACTTCTTCCTGCTCTCATCTATATCAAATGCAGACTGCAAAACATATAAAACAACACATTAGTGTCACGCAGCTTGTAAGAAAACGAAATTTGAGTTATAATATATTACCGATACATCTGTCCAAATAGTGTCTCGCACTGAACGATCAACCCTCCTCCAGTGCTGCGCTGTAATGGGCACGGTGCTTCGTGCCACTGCCCCAATATAGCTGATAAATTTATTTGACCGTACAGCTTGTCCTTTCTTATTCCACTGTACGGCAAATTTCTTTCCTTCTGTTCGAGCTTTCACGACCTCTTGCATGACACAAAGGCCCCTCTGTATGCGTGCTGCCTCTTCTTGCAACTGTCTCTCCTGCTCAGAGGCATCTCTCGGCTGAGATGGGTTATCAATGCTAGATCCGCTATCGTCTGCCATCTGCAATGAAATTGAAGTAAACAAAATGAATCAGAATCCATTAAATGAAAATAAAGTCATTAATGACGAAATTTATTTGAACAAAATTAAAACAAATAAAAGAATCAAAGAAAATAATGAGAGAATTTACATGCATGTTTAAGAAGATCTTTTTCTTTTTCTACTCTTATGTTTTTGCATGTTCTTCTTGGTTTGAATTGTTTTGATCTTCTTACGAAACACTTTCCCCCTCTTTGAAATCCATATTCCGTCGTTGTGATCATGCCTGACATACATGGATTGATCTTCATTTAAATGAGAATCAAGTGAGGCCCCTTGAAATGGATCATCTTCAATTGCATTGTCTTCATACCCCGTCTCTTCAATATCCATTTTATTAGTCAACAAAACAATAGACCATCCTTTGGCAGCCGGGTCAGGGACATAAAACACTTGCGTAGCCTGAGAAGCCAAAATGAATGGCTCTTCCTTGTATCCTTCTTTATTCAAATTCAATTGTATAAACCCTAAGTCATCAATCCTCAATGCATTATTATTATCCACCCATTTGCAACCAAATACCGGAACTCTGAATTCAATGTAATCCAACTCCCAAATATCCTCAATCACTCCAAAGTATGACATACGTGCATAGATAGGATTTTTATCTTTGGCACTCGATATATGCATGGTACTAGCTACAAGAGTTACGCCACTATTTTGCTGTTTACTCCGATCATCTTGTTGTTTAGTATAGAAAGTGAACCCATTCATAAGGTAGCTTGTGAAAGAAATCACATGTTTGCTCGGTCCATCTGCCAACAACTTTAATTTCTTCGAAACAGAATTAGGATCATTATTATACTTGCCATGCACATGCTCTCTCAACCATGCTGTAAATTGTTTATTGTGTGTTTTGGTGTACCAACTTTCAAGTTTATTGGGATTATCCCTCTTTAGCTCATCAATATGCTCATGCACATAGTCCTCAATCTCTTCGGAGTTGTGCAATACATATAGATGTGCCTGCTCCCACTGTTGGTTTGAAATAGTTACGACTTTCTTTCCCATAATCCCTTCTCCATCTGTCCTTCCCTCATGACGAGACATTGGAACCCCAATATCACTTGCATTTTTTAAGTAATGGGTACAAAATTCAGTAGCCTCTTCACAAATATATCGTTCTACAATACAACCCTCTGGCCGACTTCGATTTTTCACATACCCTTTCAATATTTTCATGTAACGCTCAACTGGGTACATCCATCTTAAATACACTGGGCCACACAGTTGGACCTCTCTAACTAAGTGGATGGTTAAATGGACCATGATGTCAAAAAAAGCCGGAGGAAAATACATTTCAAGTTCACATAACGTAACTATGATTCGGGTTTGCAATCTTGGCAATTTACTAGGATTAATCACTTTGCTGCAAAGAGACTTAAAGAAGAAACATAACTTTGTGATCGTAACTCGTACCTTATCAGGTAAAATAGCCCGTATTGCCACTGGAATAAAGTTTTCCATTAAGACATGACAGTCATGAGATTTTAAACCTTTTAACTTCATATCCTTCATTGACACAAGGTTACTAATGTTAGAAGAGTAACCTTCCGGCACTTTTACTGAAGCAAGAAACTCACAAAAACTACTTTTCTCTTTTCTAGAAAGGGTGTGAGCTGCCGGACGAAGAAATGTACGAGTTCCCTTATCCTCTGGTGCCAATTCCTCCCTTATCCCCATTTCAACCATGTCTAGCCTGGCATTTATGCCATCTTTAGTCTTCCCGGGAATATGGAGTAATGTGCCAAACAGACTTTCACATACGTTTTTCTCAATATGCATAGCATCAAGAAAATGTCTCACATTCAGGGTTATCCAATACGGCAGTATAAAGAAAATAGACCTCTTCTTCCACCCACTTGTCCCAACATGCTTCGCGAAAGGTTTTCCAAATTCACAATCTATATCTTTCACCTTTTGAAATACATCCTCCCCAATCAACGGTGTTGGTGCCTTACCTTCTTCTGAATTCCCATTAAAATATTTTTTGAATCGCCGGTAAGGATGATCACGATGCAACCATCTACGATGTCCCATATATGAATTTTTCATTCCATGCTTCAACCTTATGGAATCTGTGCTCTCTTCACAAATGGGACAACCAAGTTGTCCTTTAATGCTATACCCTGAGAGATTACCATACGCAGGAAGTCGTTAATTGTGCCAAATAACATAGCTCTCAACTTGAATTTTTCTTCCTTATATGCATCATATACATCAACTCCATTCTCCCACAATACTTTCAAGTCTTCAATTAATGGAGCTAGATATATATCTATGTCATTTCCCGGTTGCTTTGGCCCAGAGATTATCATAGACATCATTGAATACTTGCGTTTCATGCATAGCCATGGAGGAAGGTTATATATAAACAAAATCACTGGCCATGTGCTATGGGTGCTGCTTTGCATCCCATAAGGGTTCATCCCGTCGGTGGCTAATGCAAGGCGTAGATTTCTATCTTCTTCCCCGAATTCAGGATACTCAATATCAAACTTCTTCCATTCTGGAGAATCAGCAGGATGGCGAAGCATGCCATCTTTAACCCTTTCATCTGCATGCCACCTTAAATTTTTCGCATCTTCTACATTACTATACAAGCGTCTGAATCTTGGCACTATGGGAAAATACCATAATGCCTTCTTCGGGCTCTTCCCATTCTCTTGGTAGCGTGATGCATTACACTTAGGACACTCAGTTAGTGACTTATACTCCTTCCTAAACAAAATGCAATCATTGGGGCAAGCATGTATCTTCTCATAGCTGAGGCCGACAGAGCGCAACACTTGCTTTGCATCATACGTTTTACTTGGAAGCTCATTTTCTTTCGGTAGCATTTGTTTAACAAGCAACAGCAGTTCTGTGAAGCCTGTGTCGCTCCACCCATTTCTTGCTTTCAAATTATACAGTTTCAACACTGCAGACAATTTTGTGAAATCAGTACAACCTTCATATAGAGGTGTCTCAGCATCACACTTCAATCTATCAAACATTTCAGGACAATCGTCAAGTTCCCGTTCAATCGCATCTGTCATCTCCTCAAGACGATCAGCTTCACATGTACTCATGTCAAGATTAGATGATCCACAGCTTTCACTATGCCCTCGACTACTATTACTCACATCTCTTGTCTCTCCGTGCTTTGTCCAACACTTGTAACTTTGATCAATTCCATTGATAATTAAGTGGCTCTCACAATCGGATGGCGAAACCCACTTCAAAAGGCAACACTTAAGACAGGGGCAAATAATCCTGTTGCGATCATCGGCGTGCTCAATCGCAAACTTAATAAAATCTTCTACCCCATCCCAATATTCTTTTGATAGACGATTGGCGGACATCCATTCTTTGCCCATGGTCCCCGACTAAGATGAATCATTTAGAGGAAAATGTGATCAGTGACTCAAAGATATTATGAGAATTAAACAAAAATAGAAAGTCAACACATGAGTCACTATTGATCACATTTATCCCTCTTTAATTCTACTTGCTAACAACTAGTAGTTGTTAACAACTAGTAATTCAACAAAAATTTACTTTCATTTCAGTTTGAAAAATATTCTACTACTACTAATGTGCTATTCCATTTGAAAAAAATTCGACAGCATAACGGCTTATAACTTAGAATTCCCCAGGCTTTATGGCAGAAAACCAAACCAGCACATAGTCAATTTCAATTACAAAAACAAAAATTGAAACATTAGCATTGCATTCCCCAGACTTTATCGCGAAAACAAAAAACTAAAACACCCTAAACCCAAACTGATCAAAATGCGAAACACCCATTTAGAATCAAGAACAGAAAAGAAAACCCATTCGGCCAAATAGCAAACCCATTTTCCGTGTGTGCATGGTGAACGGTCCTAGCATTATCCTATCATTCCCTTTCCACTACAATCATTTCTCAAAGGAAGAACTAAAGGAAATAAGGGGAGCGAGTGAAGCATTACCAACCTGGAGCCGAAATGACAATCTGGAGAAGCAGGAGGATGCCGCAACGATAATGGAGGACACCGAGAGGGACGATGATGGAGGACGAGCAAGGACGGGCACAAAAACCAAAAGGGAACGGCCGAAACAGAGGTGGGTACGGCGGCTTGGAGAGTCCGAAGCGGAAGGGGGCGCAATCGGGAGAATGCACGCACAATGACAAAGCAGGAGGATGCCGCACCGATAATGGAGGACACCGAGAGGGACGATGATGGAGGACGAGCAAGGACGGGCAAAAAAAGCAAAAGGGAACGGCCGAAACAGAGGTGGGTACGGCGGCTTGGAGAGTCCGAAGCGGAGGGGGCGCTAGAAATTTTGAACTGAAGAGACTGAACAGGGGAAAGGGACGGGTTTTTAAGCACAATACTTGACGGTTTCTATTGATAACCGTCAAGTATTCTCAAATAATTTTGACGGTTTTAGTCAAAACCGTCAAGTATTACTAAACTTGACGGTTTTGATTTAAAACCGTCAAGTTTACCTTTAATATAATTGACGGTTATTTTATAACCGTCAAGTATTTTAGGAATACTTGACGGTT